CAACGAATAGTGGGATTGGCCGTCACATTATAACGCCCCCACGGCTGAAAGGGCGAGCATGTTTGGTGGTATGCGTATTCGAACCCGCGACCCTCAGATTGTGAGTCGAGCGCCTTATCCACCTGGCCATGCCGGGCGTAGAGCAACGAAAAAGATAGAAATTGTGGCAGTGACTGTTAAAGCTAATTACCGTAGATTATGCTTAGCGTACGAAAAATATTTAAAATGTAGGCCTAATTGTCGATTTTTAGGCACCTGTTGGAGTTTGTATTCAGATATAATGGTATTGCGTAATTTATAAGCCACGGAAAGGTAAAGAATTAACCTGATGTGTTTGTTTATGTTACTAGAGTAATTGTATTTAACGTTAATGTTATAAACGTTGTAGTTTTGCATATTGAACAATGCACGTTAAACGTAGTTCATTTTTGCACTTGTATAAATGTAACAGTACCACTGTACAAGTAGCCAGTAGGAATATTGGGTTTCCATGTGATTTAGCACTCATATGCACCTGGACTGACTGACAAATATTGTTCATTTAATTACGTAGGTGAATGGTACATTTTGTCTTAGTGTTTTAAATTTATTGTGTACATGTGAAATTTTACTGTTCCTTTTTTGTGTATTTTCTTTAATACAATCCCAAAATGCTATAAATAGGAATGAATCCTGGTTGAAATACTCGCCTAACATTTCTGGCCCAAGACGAACAAATAGCGGAACGGACCTAGCTTACCAATACAGTTCCAGTGAAGACAGTGTCACGGAAGAAGACGTCTCCAAGACCGCTAGACAAGGTTTTCCATACTCTGGAACTACAGCTTCGAGGTCCTCTACCTTAGGTCATACACGCGGATCTGGTATGCAGAACGGCAGTCACACGAAGCGAACAGCCTCTGATTCCATCAGTGTAGCGAAAGACCCGACAAAGTTCCAAAGAAGGGTCGTTCCGATAGGTTTGGGATCAGAAAACACGCAGATGAATGCGCTTATGAAAGAAATGGAGAAAAAGATTGCTTCAATGGAAAGAAGTACTGCTAATGAAGTAGGTTCTTCACAACGAAATTCTCTAAAACATCGGATCAGTAGCAGTGACTCTCAACGAAGGTCTGGGTGCCAGATAATGATTGAAACGATTGATGAGAGGTTGTCTTCAGTTCAAGTGGCTGTAGATGCTCTTGAAGAAGAGGTGAATGTAGCCAGGAACGACGTCAGCAACGTGCAACACCACTTGAACACTATAAAATCGAATGCTGAAATCACGAATGAAAGAGTTGAGAAAATCAACTCCCACATCCACCAATTAGACGACAAGATGATTTCTACGTTAAAGGTAAGTTCCTTTTCAATAGAACAGCATTAAAAACACATACATAATTCAATGATACCTTATAGATAGTAAATACGAATTAACTATTATTATGGTGATTTATCATATTATAGGATTCCTAGTATTATGGGAAAATTTATGAATGTTAGTGTATTTGGTTGTTTTGCTTAGTAATGTATAAATCAATATGTTCTGTGATTTAAGCTGTAAGGAACACATATTTCCAAAACGGTATAAGTCTATTCAGGCCCGGCAGATGGTTAGGGCGCTCGACTCGTAATCTGAGGGTCGCGGGTTCGAATCCCCGTCACACCACACATGCCAACCTCCGCCCTTGCCTGGTCCCAAGTCCAGGATGAGAAAGGGTGCGGGGCTAGTAACTCCACCCCGTAAAAACCAACCTGCTAGAAGTAACTGCAACAACACCTTCCGTTGGCGAGGTGTTGTTGCGGCCCTATGCTCCACTGGGAGTTTACAGGAATAAAATAAATAAATAAATAAAATATATATATTCCTTTATAAAGGTAACAGTTCCTCAGGGGCTTCTAAAAACACAGGTTTGCAGTTAATAGAATATAACAACAAAAACTGAATTTTTAATTAAAAGTCTATATCAGTTTTCTCGGCCTTCAAAAGCTTAAAGTTTGGTAACCCTTATGAAAACCCCCCAGTGGCACAGCGGTATGTTTGCGGACTTACAACGCTAGAATCCGGATTTCGATACTCGTGGCGGGCAGAGCACAGATAGCCCATTTTGTAGTTTTGTGCTTAATTACAAACAAATCTTATGAAAGGCACGAAGTTTTATAACTTAGAGGGCAGCAGTGATGTTTATCCCTAAAAAATTCACACACATCTTAACATATGCCTCTACTCATGGCAACTAGCAAGCATTTTCTTACATTTATGTGATTGGTAGCAGTCAGGATAAAAACTGTTTAACCACAAACGCCCGAATGCATATATTTCAGAAAAATTAACAAAATGAATTTTGAGGAGGTAACAAAAGATCATAAAATATATTTTAAGTAATCAACTGCAGTCAGAAATAAAGAAATTGTATTATAAACAAGTATGATATGCCTGTAATCTTTAAACATTCAGTTTATACCATGATTTTATGATAATCATGTTTAAAATGAAAAAAGTCTAAATTACTTTGTCATCAACAAAACCTACACGTACCTAGGCCTTTACCAAAGTTGATTTGGTGCTACAATAGCGTGAGGTCTACACAGATACTATCATCATCACCGTTTTAACTTTCGTTTATTTGCAGTTAGCGCCATTTATTATAAATAACACTTTTAAACTAATAAAGTACAAAATACCATTACATAACGTTTTTGGGGCAAATATAATCGGAATGAAATAAATTCCAACAATCAAAACGAGCACAATTATATCCTAAACTTAAAGTACTCTTTTGGAACACACAACTTATTAAATTATTCTTATTTGCTGAACGAAAACGTGGATAGATATAAATTATCAATTAGTCCCTTTTAGGACAGGAAATGTAATTAATTAATAAATTAGTGAGTTACTTTGATTAATTATAGACATGTTGAGACACATATTGCGTGAGTCATTGTATCATGGCCGCCTGTTATGGCGGCCTAGCAATGCGTTCCTAAAGACGTTTCCTCTGGTGGCAAATTTTGAAACTGTGACGTCACAGATGACATCATTTGTACCTGCCTGTCATGGCAGTCCAGCAACGAATCCCTAACGAAGCGCACTCTGGTGACAATATGTGGAACTATGACACCATCTTCTTTGATGGCACCTCCACTCACTGAGGCAGACAAACGTATGGCGCCCTCTAACGGAACTATGAAATCAATGATAACATTCAGCATGAGCCGGCATCCTTTGGACGCGGAAGTACCAACCTAACTACTTATAAATATATAATTGTTAATTATGTATTATATAATGTTAATTTTTCTGTAATGCAAATACTAAAAACAAGTTTATCTTGTATATTTTTGAGATATTTCAAGTGTTTTTTTTTTTGTCACCACATTTGTATCAATTAAATAGACGATCAAATATGCATCACATAATTATATCCAGATACCCAAAGAATCAGGATTTGTTAAAGATAAGCGGGAGCTCGTTGTCTGTATTATTAATCGTCAGGGCCTCTTTCAAGTATGTCTTACACACCAGAATTTTTTACTTTATGTTAATCTTTTATAAATTTACCATTTTAAGAGTCTGCTCAATCCACTTAAAACTTCGGACTGTTGGAATTTTTAATAGATTTTTATTCTTTATGAGATTTATATTTGTGCTTCCATTTTGCAGGAAACTCAAGCACTGTGTGAGAAAACCCGAGAGGTTTTGGATGATGCTACAAAAGCTAAGAAACAATATGAGGAATTAAAAGAAGAATGTCAAGTGTTACTGCACGAGTTAAAGCAACACGTTAAGCATGAATGACTTCCATACTGTTTTCAGGATGTTTAAGTATATCTGATCATCTTTGTTAAAACGAAGATACCTTAACCTATTTGTGAGAAGTAAAACGATACCTTAACCTATTTGTGGGAAGTAAAACGATACCTTAACCTATTTGTGAGAAGTAAAACGATACCTTAACCTATTTGTGAGAAAAGTTCCAATACTATTTTGCACCGAAATAGTCGTCTGCATGCTGTAATAAGTAAGCTTTAACATTTTCTGAAGAAACTTTACTAGTCATTACCGTGCAGTAGTTAGTATTTGAAAATAAATTAGTTTCAAATCGAGTTTACGGAAATAAATATACTACTGCTAAAACGTATTTATGTTCAACTTTTTTCACAGGAATTATCCTGTTAGATTTGCATTTCATCAAGACTGGTGTAAACACCAATGTTTTCTCGCCTTTCTTTTTGCGATAATATTAAGAAATGTATTGTATGAAGCCTTGAATTCAAAATACTGTTCATTCTGTGATACGTTTTCTGCTAATCTCAAGATTTATAATGTGCCAAAAAAAACTGAAGAAACTATAGTTGTTTAAAACAGATTCGCCACGTATTGACTTAAGTATGTGTGTATTTACTTCCATTCCTCTTATACAAAATACAAATTACGACACTTCAGTTACTGTTTAAATTGCTGTAACTAGTAGATATTTCATTGCTAGTTATTATTACCTTGTGTGACTATGTTCGGTATCTCTTCTCTAAAGTTCTTTTAATCAGCGCCACAGGACGGAACGAGCCAATCTGTGTTAACTTAAAGAATACGCCTAATTATTCATTACGTGCGTACAGGTACGTTAGCAGATCTACCGATATTACGATGTTATTCGTTTGACATTAGATAACAGTATCATTTCTCTTTCAACAAATTTAATTATTTCAATATACTTATCCTTAAGCCCAGCTAACTAAAATCCCATTAGTTGCACTAAATAGTGTTATTTGGGGATTAATTTACCTCCAAAATCATTGATTCCCACAGCAGTTTATTGTAAAACCAACTGTTTAGAGGAGGCTGCCTTGCTTGGTTTTCACAACACTTTGAAATTATACAATGATTTGGACTTACTTAATGAAAACTGTTTTAAAAATTTTCTCGTGGTAGTTGGCTACGAGTATATATAAATATCGTCAATTAAAAACAATTAAAACATTCCTTGCTGGTTCTTATAGTAGTTTAGAGTAGAAAACTAGTTTCGGAGCTAAAATGAAGGCTTAAAATTAACTGTTGCCTTTACCTTCGGTGTTTAATATATTAGCTACCAACGAAATGTCAAATATATTATCAAGTAAGAAATTTCAAGGTAGTAGTGAACTTTGACTTGTATTTACGTGTAAGATGATGTTTGATATTACTTGTTTGTTTTGTTACCAATCGCATGAAATCCAATTTTTAAAGATATGAGCCCTCAGACTTATTGTTGAATCGCCACATTTGTATCAGGACCGTGCGCAGGAATTTAACTTTGATCGCTATTGGGGGGGGGGGAGCATATTAAACTCACACATATTTTATATAAAGATATGTATGTATATATATTAACCATATCTATATCACCATACGCACATACGTCGTATGCATGGAAATAAATAGGATTACACTCACCAAAATTACCGGGAGGGGTCCGGACACCTGCCTGCCTCTCTTGTACACGCCCCCTTAAAGTATTTGTTCAGTAAGTGCTTTTAACTGTGTCACATTATCAATATGAAGTAGACAAATATGTAATACATTACTTGATTTTCCTATATTATTTTCACTTCAGGAAAATAAAAAAATATAAAGTCAAGAATTCTTGAGTGGGAGTGAAGGGTAATATATTAATGCATGAGTTCACACTTTTTAACACATATTACAAAATATATGAAATATTCCTTAGACCATTACTCATTTTACTTCATCATTTATATGGTAAATTTTTGTTTGAGTCAGGATTTGGAAAAAAATATTTTTTAATATGTTTAGCATTTAAAACAGTCCTCCCCCCCCCTCCTTGAAAAATGCAATTGCAGATCCCGTCATGATTTTACAGAATTTCCCCATTTTTCAATAGCCATTTGCTAGAGAACACTTCAATATGTTTTTAAGTTAGAACTAATTAAAGTGATTTAACAATTACTATGCGTTTGTGCATGATCCGCTACATGGGTCTGTGAAGCTATATATATATATATTCTATCTTTCTCTGGCGATTGTGGAACACTGAATTCCAACACGTGCTAATAATAAGTTTCTTTACAGTGGCCTCGCAAGTTTGTATAACACTGATTAGGAAGTTGGATTTAATAAATTTTAACAATGTTTTCAATGGTTGGAGTATTTAGTTATGTTTCGAGCTCAACTAGATGGTTCAGGAACTGTGTTAAACTTTGTGAGTAGGTCTGGAGGATCTGCCGCGGAACTGTGTTAAACTTTGTGAGTAGGTCTGAAGGATCTACCGCGGAACTGTGTTAAACTTTGTGAGTAGGTCACAATGTTTTTTCATGGTGGATCATTATTATTATTAATTGTGATTTTTATCATTTCTCTGTTTCAAGTTGCACTGTGGTATGGTTTAGACACTCCTTTCTTAACCATTGAAATTAAAACAAAAACAATTCTCTCAGTTCAAATATAAGATTTATGTGATTTTTGTGTATTTGTGATGAGAAATTTAAGTTGATATTGGTATTAATGTATTAAAAATACATTTCTTTTTGTGGAACTTTTCCTTGATTTATGATATTGAGTACGAGTAAAAAAAAATGTAACATTACTTGTCAAAGTAGGAAATATTATATTTTCTTTTACTTCCAATGCAATCTTTGTCGTACAGCAATTTTTATTTTTGATAACTTTGAATACCAAAAATACTGTATGCAAATTTCTTAATGCTTAAATGGAATTATATACGATGCAATAAAGTTTCTTAAACAACTAATGTTTCTATGGAATCAATATTCAAAGGCAGTTTTCAAAGGAACGAACTGATATGATATTTTGCTGTCATTTAAAATATTTGAACTTTTTATCATATAAATTTTAATAAGGTCTGGTCATGTACTTACGAATCTATTTTCCTCACCAACATGTGAATTTCAGTGAAGAAACTATTATGTAAAGGTCTAATCTATTTTTTTGGTTCGCTACTTTCGTTGCAGTAGACTAGTTTCGCCGAGTTCACAGCTCATCAGATCTGCTTTTTTGTTTGTTTGTTGTTAAGCGCAAAACGACAAGTGGGCTATCTGTGCTGTGCCCACAATGGGTATCGAAACCTGATTTTTACAGTTAAAAAATCTTCAGACTTACCGCTGAGTCACTGGGGCATCATCAGCACTCCTTGAGCGAGTGAGGAAAGTATATAAATCCTCATTAGTCCGTTAAATACTAATGGATAATTAATTGTTACAGTATAGTCACGTGTTATTCAAACACCTGAAATATTTTAGATTATTAGTGGTAAATGAATGACTAATTTTTAACCAAACAAAAAGTATGGTAATGTTAATTATGACACTTATAAAGTGCTTATAACCCATTGAACTATATAGGACAGACTAAGAACCTCAAACTTTGACAAACTTGAAAGTAACACAAAACAATTCACTTCCAATTAATTATGAGTCTGGATCCAGATTATCTAAAAACACAATATCGTGAAAACTAATAACACTAACCCCAACTAAATTATACATCAATTTAAAGATTAGAAAGAGGGGAAAAGCATGAACCTAACACCACAAATGTCAGACTACTACAGAAGAAAAGAAAACCCAAAAATGTACTTATTTTCAACTCTACAAATCAACCTTCCAGTTACAGACCTCTTATAGTTAGGGTGTAACTTTTGACAACCCATGTTTTGGTTTATTCCCTGCAGTATGTTCCACTTTATTGAGTTTGTGTCAAAACCATTGAGAAAATTACCACCAAAGAGGTTGCTATGGAAATATTTTAATTTTCAGTTCAGGATTATGATTTTCAATACCATTTTTTGAGGGATGTGTAGGGGTATTTTAACAAAATGTGTTACGGAAACTGCAAGTAGACATTTTAAAGTAGCAAATATCTATTTTTCAAACAAGGGTAAAAAAATAGATAGAAATAACATGAAATCTTCAATTTATCACTGGCTTCACAAAGTAAACGTATACAACATTATGATTTGGAATTAGTCATGTCTCTGTAGAGGAAATACATTTTTTCTCTACTCAGTAAACAAACGGTTTTAATACTTGCAAAATTCAAAAGTATAATTCTGTGAAAGGCAACTTAGCAATATTATTTATTAAATGTGTAGAGTTCTGAGATAAACTCTCTACAGAAACATTTTGTAAGATAACCTTTTACATTACCACAGGACGTTTAATCATTGGGTCGTTGTTAAGCACAAAGTTTCACAATGGGCTATCCGCACTTTGCCCACCACATGTATCAAAACCTATTTTTAGCATCTTAAGTCTGCAAAGTTTCCGCTGAGCCACTGGGCGACGTCACAGTAAGTAAAATTCTTGCACAGAAAATCATTTGCCATACCAGCTCTGGTGAAACGTTAAATATTATACATTTTGAAGGAAATGCTAAAGATTTTGATAAAAATCATTTCGATGTGATAAACAGTTATTACACGATTGTTACTTTCAAAATACAAGAAAAGATCAAACAGGATTACGAACAGTTTCAGTTTTCTTAACAATAATTTATATTTCATCGGAATTCTCGTGGATTGTTTGTTTGTTTGAAGTTAAGCACAAAGCTACATAATGGGCTATCTGTGCTCTGCCCACCACGGGTATCAAAACCCGGTTTCTAGCGTTGTAAGTCCGCAGATATACCGCTGTGCCACCGGGGGCGCACATAGTTGTGAAAAATAATTCGGTATATTGGAATTTGAGATGAAACTTCTTAATTCGTCTCTTCTTCTTTATAAAAAAAAATAGCTTACTGTGATTTTTATACAAAGCAGTATTAACACAATTATTTAAAATGTTTCTTATCGTTTAGTTTTAAAGATAATTTGACAATAAAAATGTTCTTTTATGAGTTTTTTTTAAGCTAATCTAAAATAATATGTTAATACAACTTTTCTGGCTATTAAATTTCCAGTGTGGATCAAACTTAATGCTCGCCCCCTTTTAGCTGTGGGGGCGTTATAATAATGACGGTCAATCTTGCTATTCGATAGTAAAAAGTAGCCTAAGAGTTGGCGGTAGGTAGTGATGATTGGATGTCTTCCTTCTAGTCTGACACTGTTAAATTAGGGACGGCTAGCGCAGATAGTCCTCGTGTAGCTTTGTACGAAATGACAGAAATGGTAGAAACAGAAGTTCGATCCAGTGTGAATCAAACTTAATGCTCGCCCCTTTTAGCCGTGGGGGCGTTATAATGTGACGGTCGTTGATAAAAAAAAAAGAAGTAGTCCAAGAGTTGGCGATGGGTGATGTTCACCAGCTGCCTTCCCTTTAGACTACCACTGGTAAATTAGGGACGTGTGGCTTTGCAGGAAATTTAAAACAAACCAAACTCTATAGTTTATCAATTACATTAATTACAAACTGGAAACGCTTGGCGCATATTGCTCCTGTGTAACTCTGGGCGAAATACTAAAACAAACTAAACAACCTTAAAGACTACAGTTCAGTATTGAAAATTTACTTTAAAATGTGGTCAAAGAAACACAATCATACGCGAAAAATCTATATTTGGGCTATCTTTTTTTCTCGAAGCAGAAGGGATTGTCGAAATTTGCGATAACATTAAGAGATAAAACTCAGAACAATTTTTTTAAATGTTTGATTTATCGTATTCATATAGAGGGCGTAATGTAAAGGGAGAGAGTTAAAGAGTTGTTTTAACAAAGCAGGATCTTATTGCGGCGTGTAAAAAAAATTATATAATACTTAGTTAATATTGTACACAAAACAGTTTTTATTAACTATTCACGGTTTGGTTTCTTTTATTATTGAGATTTAACTTATTCGAGGAAGTAAAAACAAATCAATTCGCCACTATGTTAGGATAAATAAAATATTTCATGAGATATTTTTGAAATGACAACTAACTATATGATTTGAGCATATCATAGCAATATACTACTACTTAAAGCTAATAACAGATGGCGCTTATAATGAGTGAATATTTGCTTTCCTGAAAAATACAGTACTCGTTTTCAGAGCTGAAATATGAAGTTGGTTACACTAATATATACATATTGATAATATTTTAAATACATATATTGTTTCAGTATGGAACGTGACTCTGTAAGCTAGAATATATTATAAATAAGTGTTTAATACTTAGTATTCTCTATAAGTATAAAGTTCAAAAAAACGTTCAAAACATGTGACATTAACACAACAAGAATATTTCTTCCTCTTCTTTCTTTCCTTTTAAAGTTTATTTATTTACTTTCCCTGGATCAGTGACATCGCGTTTTGGGCTCATAGTTCGATGGTTGCAAGTTCGAGACTGGCTCGCGCTGTTGTGTCTTGCCTTGAGCAATACACTTTACCCCACTTCATTCCAGTCTACCCAGCTGTATGATGGGTATCAGCTATCAGTTGTGCTGCGATGGATGGGCTGACATCCCATCCAGAGGAATAGTTAACCATTTAAATCCGCTTGTGCCATTTACAACCTGAATTCAAAAGCACCGGTTCTACATTTCTTGCAAAGGCACGGCAAGGATTTAACTTAACTAAAACTAAATCATGAACTTGCAGCTGAAAACGTAAGATATGACTGATAAGTAAAAAACATTTTAAAGAATGAAATAATACCAGTGGCGCTGCAGAATAACGTGATTCATACAAGCCATATTTGACGCCATTCAACAATATAGTAATTCTTGGAAACTTTTACTCTCATTTTCCGATTTTTAATTCAATAATATATATATATATATATATCCTAAATATTTCAGATCACTTTCCCGTGACCAAACTGGTAGCTACTCTAATAGCATTGATTAAAATTTTACAGCAAATATTCATTCATTAGTTAGCCAGGCCGCGTATTTTGTTTTACCCATCATCAAGTTACGCGCACTAAATCGTTATATCATACATGATGGAAATGAGCCTAAGTACCTCTCACCCATAAATATAGGCTACAAGTTTAGTAATATGCAAGCTATTACTAGACCTACCTAAACTATCATTATGTAGTTTATAATATAGTGTATTAAAATGATATTTATGTAAATACACATAAAATAAGCCACATTATGAATGGCTTTGGAATATATGGACTTCAAGTTAACAAGTATATCCCAGTGTAAATGGTGAACGTTTGAACATAATTGGACATGGCCCTGATAGGGGATTTGAATTCATATAATAAATACTCATGAAAACAATACCCTCTTCTATGTCGCGTTCAACATTTGACAGTGTATAAAAAATGCCGAAAAATTAAAACAACATCTATCCTGAGGGAGAAATTACACTCACAATGCGTCAGGAAGAGGGCTAGGTTGCTCCTGACCCTCCCAGATCCAAACAAGGACCTAAATCCCGATGAAGCAGAACAGTGAACTCAACCCTTTTTTGGCCGAACCTCTTTTACACACCTAAGGCGTTTTTGATTACATGGTGACTAGCTGAGAGTTACATTTTCGAGACTGTAACCCAGTGATACTTTACACGGCTTTTAGGGATAGAAAAGACTCGATTTATTTCACATATTCCAAACGAAAGATTGAGACTATTCAGTTGTACATCCGGTATTTGCTTAACAAGTGAATTGTAATATGAAAACATATGTTAACATTAGGTAGCAAAACACATACTTGGATCAAAAGAGAGCTGTAAGTCCGAACAATATCAGCTTTTATCAGCCTTGGTGTGTAATGGGTGAAACTTATGGTGTCAAAATAGTACCGTAGAATTGTATCACAATCAAATATATTATGGTATTTTTTTATTTTTTTGTAAGAAAGTTGTGTTTTGTTCGAGTCATTTGCTGTTTTTCTCTATCATTTTGAACTTAACGTGAGTCGTTCCAAGTCGTTTTACATTACCTTTGGTTATACTGATAACCATTATGTGCTCAAAGTAATCAAACTCATAATTAGATTAATTGTTCAGTTGTCCTTATTAACAATAAATCAGCCAAACACAGGTATGATGTAGTAAATAATACGAATTAATTTGCTGTTATGAATCATAGATGAGTGGCGCAAACTAGAAAACAAATATTCAAACAACTCTAAAGCAGTTCATTTGAAGATCTAATTACGTTATAAAGTAAGTTTAATAATATATATGTCATTTACCTATTTACTGCATATTAATCTTTTAATCAAGGCGATCGTTTGAGTGAATTGACTTTTGTAATTTTATTTTGTTTTTTAACGATGCATCGTTCACTTGTTCGCAACAATGATGCAACTTCCTCCTTTTTCATCATAAATTCAGAATATTTATTATGTATGCTCTGTTTGAAAACGAGATTCTGGATGTATTATGTTCGATTTTCTGTGCTGGAATAATGACGTTTTAGTTTGCTTCACATTCTCGTTAACAAGATAGTGGCCCACCTTCGTGAGAACTATGTCCCAGCTGAACATCTGTTACTTTATGTGGCAATTTGTACAACCATCTCTACCTATGTACACTTTATTGTTCATTTTGATCAAATAATTGTAAATTATAAAATGTGAGGCAGTAATGATGTTGAAGCTACAATGCTCCAATGTGTTTAAAAACAAAAACTTATTCTAACACTAACTTACACTACTGTGTACGAGAGCCGTTAGTAACAGTTACTAAATAGGCCAGAAAAACGTAAATACTTACTTATTATTTTTGTTGTTTTTAGTTTACTTATTTACAGCCAAGATATACGTAAATATAACTAAAAATTGAAAAACTTAAATGCATAAAAGCTGAGTCAATGCTTAGCCTAAGTATTAGTTCGCTAAAACTTATGTATTCCACATACACATTGACATCATTTTGCGGTACACGATCTCACATCGGCCAAACGAAAAATAGGTCCCTCTCTTAATAAATGGTACCGGAAAATCGAAATTACGATGAACAAATAAAAAATTTTTAAATATTTTATGCAATAATGGTTTGTTTGGAAGGATTTATAAAGGAAAATAGAGATTCAACTGACATAGTGTTATTGTTAACAAACATTTCAAGAGCATTTATATAGCAAATAACACAGTACTGTTGATATTCTTTGTCTACAGTATATTTAAATATAACTTTTTTCAAAACCATTATAAAATATATGTCACGTTTCAGAAGAAAAATTTTATGTCTCTTTTTTTATAATATTACTTTGCAAATGAAATTGGCAATTTGAAATAATAACAAGAAAAATAAAATATTAGAAATTTAAAACCTGCAAATAGGGATCGTAAAAAAAGTAAGTAAACAAGGCTGGAGATAGTGTAGAGTGTAGACATTATTTACTCAAACTACAAACCCCGTTTTTTGGCTCCATGCTGTTACCTAGAATTACATTTGGTGAAGTCAAAATAGGAATTTGTAGTTTGAGTAAATAATATCTACAGTATCTTCAGCTTTGTATGCTTACTTTTTTTACCATCCCTATTTGCAGATTTTTAAATTCTCAATTTTTTATTTATCTTGTTTGCTGACGTTTTTTATGCTCAACTATGGGCAAATGATTACTTGATATGGTAGATAACGTTATACATTGTATTAGCTAGCTGATACGGTTTATGATGATTTACTGTAGCTATTGACTATTTGATCGCATTAGTATTAGATGTAAAATGTTAAGCTGCAGCTGGAGTTTGTCATGGAGATTTGTTTGAGAATATAGTGAGTATTTATAGTTTCTGTGTAACTAAATTCTCTCTATATAATGCATAGCAATAGGCAAATATATCCCTAGACTAAGACACAACCCTCCACTAAGTGCGTATAAAATTTTACCAGTAGAAAAGTAGCCTTTTCAAATAAAACATCTCTTTAAATAAACCTTCGTGTCTCTTAAAGTACTTATTCTTTGAATGTGTGTAATAAAATTGAATATTATGGGTATTGGTTTTTTTTTACTCCTTCACTTCATACATAATAGAGGGATTGGCTCCCTAAAGACACAAATTGTATAATGTACAAAGCATTGAATATCTAAATGTTACCATCATCTAAGGTTCATCTGTTATTAGCTGGTAATTCCTGTTTCACCCTGTATTTAAGCTTTTAAAGGAACACGAGATATTTGTAAGAAAGCTAACTTAAAGGCGTATTGATAACATCGTTTGGACTAGAATTATGATATTTTTAGCTTATGTAAAATATATAAAAAACAAATCGACTTTTCAATACCAATACGAACTTTGCGGTACCTTGGGTGCAATATTATACCAAGACGTTTTTGTTGTAGGCTGGTAAGAGAATAATTAGAAGAATAATTTAAAAGAGCAGTTAAAATAAAGAGACAAAATAGTTAAAGAATAATTAAGACAAAAAATAAATTTGATTAGAGACAAAATCCACGAAGTTACTGAAGATATACAGAAGGGTTACAATGACAAGATTAAATAAATACAGAGAGACATATCGTACATAAAGGTTGTAATGACAAAATTAAAGAAGTGCAAAAAGAAAAAGAAATCAATGAGGTAGAAAAGAACATCAATGATGGAATAAAATATTTGGAAAGTGGATTGATAAATGCAAATATTCAATCACCTACACTTTTTATTTTCATCTGCCCAAGAATTCCAACTTACAACACCATTTACTATAAAATATGAAATAGGAGGAACGATTTTGTTTATACCATTACTACTACTGCTGCTATATCATTTGTGATTGCAGGACCTTCCAGGAGTACCAAATCCAGTTTCAGAATTTAGCTGGCCAGTTCAAAAACATCACCCAATTGAGAAACCAAAGGACCGTGATGAGAGATACCGTAAAAGGTTTTGTTTATTGGTTTGTTGAATTTAGATTAAAGCTACTACAAAGCTAACTACATTAGCCATCTATAATTAAGAAGTGATAGATTAGAGGGAATGTAGATATTCAACATCACCCGCTGCCAACTCTAATCGAATAATGGGATTGACTATCAAATTATGATGCATAACAAGCACTGATAGCTGCCTTATCCAACAGGTTTAGAGTAATACTCCAAAAGGCAGTATTCAAAGTAAAGGTCAAGAGCAGGGGAAAGAAAAGTCCTCAGTCAAACTTGCAGAAGATTTGAAAAGGCTTGCCCAATAATCATACCCAGATGAAGTTACTATTTCTCTGAACTGTGAAGTAGTTGTTTCTGTTGTATTATTTGAAAATATTTAAATTTATATTATTTTTATAATATAATTATTTCTTCGGAAACATTAGGTCTTATCAGAGTAAAATTTAAAAATAATTTTCATTACATTTTTTTTTTTCAAATTTTCTTCTACAATGACTAACCAGGATCTTAAAGATACTTTTTTGCAGAATATCATTCGCTGATCTTGTGATATTTCAGATGATCGGCTGAGCTATGTAGATGTATTGATGTTGTCATTGTATAGTTAACGTGCAGGAGTATGGGTAAAAATCAGGACGTGATTATTATCCAAAAGAAAAAAAAAATTCTTTCCCTAGCAAAAACATTAGTCATCAGAGTATACTAACAAGGAAAGTCCAAAGAGAGTACGTTTTCCTTTATAGAAATGTTTGCCTGGTAATTGATTGTACTACCTCAACAATGCAAGTTGCTGTATGGGATGTAGTAGTGTGGGAAATGTTCCTTTGGCGAGGTTGGATTTTTTATTCCTTTAGAAGGAGTAATAATCCCAAGAGTATATCTGAAAATTGTACCCTATAAACATGGCTTCTGATGGTTTGCTTGTTTGTAATTAAACACAAAGCTACACAATGGGCTATCTGTGCTCTGCCCACCACGGGTATCGAAACCCGGATTGTAGCGTTGTAAGTCCGCAGACATACCGCTGTGCCATTGGGGGGGGGGGGGCGCTTCTGATGTTCATGACGAAAAAGTAATAATCCACCAGTCACTGTGTACTCTCTACTTTGATCAATAGTATTTATCTTAATATAAAAATATATACCAAAAATATTTGGGTTTAATAAATCATTCATGCTAAGAAATGGTTTATTTAATTTGAGATCTGACAAAAAAAAACTAAACTATATCAAAATTTTGAATCGGAGTTAGAGATATGACGCTAAACGCCTAATTATTTGAAGCGTATTCAAAACTTGTACAGCTCAAAGTGATTCATCTTGGTTCTTGAAGCCTTTGGTATAGGTTATGTAGATGTTATTTAATCTTAAAGAAACTTCGACCAAACACTGTGCAGTAAATATTTTATTTCAGAAACATAGGAAATTGAACAAACACTTGTTGAATTATGAAACGTGGTATAGGTGCTACTAACCCAATTTGTGAACCTGTTATAATGTGATATTAAGCACTATATGAAATTTATGAATATAGTGAGAATAATTATCGTAATGTACTATTCATAACAAAATTTATGGACAGGTTATAGTGGGAATAATTTTAATATACTATGATAAACTACAAAATTTGTGGATAGGTTATAGTGGGAATAATTCAAGTAGACTATTATAAACTACAAAATTT